AATTGAATGTTAAGATATTTTTATGGTGGTTACTTTAAATAAATTTTTGTTAAATAATTCCAGCAACTGATTCATCTTGTCCATTTTTGCTTCCATTGATCATGTATTCTTGTTCAGGTTCTGTTTTTTTTTCGGTTTTTTGGTGTGATGAGTCATTTTGATTACAGCCTCGACATTTAGCTTATAATGTTAAGGGACTATTGTATTTCAGTCTTTCGTTATAGCACATAGTAGCCCTGTTTTGGTTTAATGTGTAGGTTCTTACCTACTTTTGTCCTAACAGTGGTATTTTGGTTTGTTTCATTTTCTGATGCTACAGGGAATTCACCAATATTGTCTGTTGTTGCTTAAGGCTTCAGGTTAGCAAATGTACCTTCTTCCTTCCAGCTTTCAGAATTCTGTTGTTGTTGTTTGTTTTAGTTGTATTTAAAGGGAAAAGCAGGAAGAAGTGAGTCTATATCATTTTGTTCCAGAACCAAAAGCCCTTTTTTGGCTGTATTTTAAATTTTTGATCTTTGCTTTTTAAGAGTATGAATCAGTATGAGAATGAGTTACTACTCAGCCATTCTACTTTTTCTTTGATATTTGAAGGTTGAGGGTTAAAAAATATATATATTCTCTTTATATAGCTATAAGGATATATCTATCTATATATTCTCTTTATATGTATATATAAAGATATATCTATATATGCATCTGTTCTGTGTATGTGTAAGTATAAAATTGTGCTCATCTAGCTGCCCTAGTTTACCTGACTCTTAACCTAAAGATTGAATCTCATAATTTCTCTAGGATTACTTCATTATTTTAGCATATATAGATTGATTCAAATCTTAAAAATGTTTTTTTTACTTATTGTGGTAAGAACATTTCACATGAAATTTACCCTCTCAACAAATTTTTAAGTGTACAGTAGAGTTTCATCATCTATAGGCACAACATTGTACAGTAGATCACAAAAACTTAATCTTGTATAACTGAGACTTTATAGCCGTTAATTAGCAACTCCTTATTTCTCCCTCCTTCCAGCCTTTGGCAGCCACTATTCTAGTCTTTCCTTCCATGAGTTTGACTATATTAAAATCTTGAATAAATTTACTATGTTAATGAAATTGTGAATTTTCTATGTTTGAGGATTTTAGTCATTTCAAAACTATGGAACATGGACCAAATACACCTTTCAGTTAATTAATTCCATTAATTATAACTTCTAAAGTACTTACGCATTTTAATCATAGATCTTTGATTATAAATTTAATGACCTGTGGTCTTTTGGAAGCTTTCTAATTGTTGCTGAATTTTAAAAAGCACATTCGGTTCTAATATTATTATTTACAGAGTTTTTAATATCTTCATAATTTTCTTCTAGTTCAGGCCCATGAGGTTCATCAGAAAATTTTGGCAACTGATGTTCATCCTAAAACTACATCTGACTCAAGAAAAATGTCAAATAAAAAACTAAAAGATCATCACAATGAAGCTGATGAGGAATTTTACTTATCTATTGGTTCACCTTCTGGTCTTTTGGATGCAAAAGCACCTTTATTGCAAGAGGCTGTTCCGTCTGCTGCCCAAAAGAGAGAGACCTACACGTCTGAAAATTCAGTAAATATGCTGCCTTCAAGCACAGAGATTTCTCATAAAACCAAAAAAAGGTGAATTTTTATTTATTTAAAAAGTATCAATCTTACTGTAAAAATTTTACCTTTTATATTAAAAAGTGAGTAATTTAGGTTTATATATATGTGTGTGTATTTTTTTTTTTTCTTTTTAGTGGAGGTACTGGGGATTGAACCCAGGACCTTGTGCATGCTAAATATGCACTCTACCACCGAGCTGTACCCTCCCCTCTTAAGATTTTGCTATTCAAAGTGTGATCTGTGGCTCAGAATCAAGAGCAATGGCATTATCTAGAAGCCAGTTAGACATCTTTAATTCTTTTTTCTTCTTTTTTATTTTAATCTATTTATTTAGTGAAAGTATTGGGGATTGAACTCAGGACCTTGTGCAGCTTTGCCATTGAGCTATGCCTGTTTGAAATGTGGAGTCTCAAATCCTATGCTAGACCTACTGAATCAGAATCTACATTTTAATAAGATTCTCCATATGATTCAAATTCATGTTAAATGATTCAAATTCATATTAAATGTTTGAGAACTAGTGCTCTAAGTTTTATGTATATATATATCTTTGTTACATGATTTAACCATTCTTTTTCTCTTATTTTTTTCTATTGACAAATACAAAATTTATTTTTTCTGAGCAATTTACAGTGTGTATTTTGTATAAGAGAAACACATTAGCATTTACAAATTTTGAATAACGGCCTGTTGGAAAATTCTTTAAATGGTTGTAGTCACTGTAAGAGAATTCAGGAAAACTCTTAACTCAGCAAGTGGTGGGAACATTCAGCATGTCTTCTTTTTAACCTTTTAGGTTAAACTTTGAAGATAAGGAAGTTTTGAAGAAAGTAGACATAGCAAATACAGTATCAGAAATAGAGGATAAAATACCAGAAGGATCACAAGAGAGTAAACAGTCAGGAACATCTCAAAAAAGAATACAAGATTCAAAATATGAAAATCAACCACAAGCTAGAAAGAGTTTTTCAACAATGTTTTTAGAAACTGTAAAAAAAAAAAGTGAATCCAGGTGAGTTATTAAGATACTGTGCACATTTTTCTTTCACATTGCATGAACAATATCTAAGGTTTTTAATGCTGTTTAACTAGAAGTTAATCATAATTGACACAATTTTTAACTGAAATTGTGCCTAACCCATAAGGAGAGTGTAGTTTCATACCAGTAAATTAATCCTGAAGCCATCATCTAATGGATACTAAATTAGATGTGAAAGATAAGAAGTTTATTCAGCTTTCATTGCTTCTGCTCATCAGCAATTTCTAATATGTATGGTATCAAAGAATAAAGGCAGTATTTGGAAACAGAATTATGTCAGGGTGCCTGTATTTCACTATAAGGGTTTTAACTATTTTTTTCTATTTTTTTTGATTGTGTCAGTAAAAGGATAGTCCTAAAGTAAGTTTTAATTTGTTCCCTACTTAAAAACCTTCAGTGGTTCCATAGTGTCCATATGGTGATTATTAACTGTGGTTGTACATTAAGAGTTAACTAGAATTCATGGCAGCTAAGGTTGAGAACCGCTGGTCTATAGAATAAACATCAGACTTGTCAGCTGGTATTTAAGGCCTTCACTGTCACTACTGAACTGTTTCGACCAACTTGGTTACATACTTGGAGTTGTCCCGGCTTTGGCACACCTTTTTCTCTTGTTGTATGCCAATCTGTATTTTCTTCCAAGGGCCGTGGTAGGCTTCTGAATTTTTCCAAGTCCCACTCCAGTGTTTCTTAAAATAATTTCTTGCCTGTATTATAGTTTACCTCTTTTATGTATGTCTTTCTTAGTAAGTTAAGATACAAGCCCTTCTTTCCAGGAGTTTGGTTTCTTTTTTGTGATATCTAAAAGAATGCTAGTGAATATATTAGAAAGGTTTTATAAAAACATGATGAATGAAAATTCCTCTTTTGTTCAATCTCTTTTCCCATAGTTGACTCCTCCTCCCAACCCCCATTTCCCTCCTTCCTATCCTCCCTGTCCCTGTATGTGTGTGTGTATAACATCTGTGTATATATGTATATATATATATATATATATACATACACACACACACACATATATACATATGTGTGTGTATATATATGAACATCTTTTACTCCTTTTATGGATGTTGTCCCCACCATCAGATACAAATAGATTACACTTATGGGCTAATTATATCTATGTCCAAAAAAGTAAGTATTTAAAAAAAAATTTTTTTTTTCAAATGAGCTAGTGCATAAGTGTTTAATTTCTATAGCCAGATGTAACTACTCACTATTCCTGGTACTTTTTTGCTTCTTTGCTTTTACTTATGCTCTTTTACTGCCTTTCTTGCATTTCCTCATGACCAAATCATAGCCATCCTTTAAGATCCAACTCAAATACCACAGTCTTTCTTGATTTTTCCATCTAGCCAGAAGTCATCTTTCTGTATTCTGAATTTTAATAATGTTGTCTTGGTCCATTTGGGCTGCTATAACAGACCAACATAGTCTGGGTGTCTTACTAACAATAGAAACTTATTTCTCACAGTGCTGGAGGCTGGGAAGTCCAAGATCAAGGCTCAAGTAGATTCAGTGTCTGGTGAGGCCTGCTTCCTGGTTCAGAGATGGCTGTCTTCTTGCTGTAACCTCAGATGGCAGAAGGCAGCCAGGGGGCTCTCTGGGGTCTCTTTTAGAAAGGTAGTAATTCCATTAATGAATATTCCACCCTCATGACCTAATCACTTCCTAAAGGCCCCACCCTCAAATACCATCACTTTGGGGATTAGGTTTCAGTTTATGAATTTTGGAGGTATGTAAACATTTGATCTATAGTGTCAAGATTGTTTCCTAAGAATATCTATGGTTTGAATAACTTTGAAATTATAGAAGTCTCTTGAAGTAGAACAGAGGAGTGGATTTGGACAGTTCTTGTTGGCTGGTTTGGGAAGGCTTTATTTTTAAATACTTAATATTACTTCTTTAATATATGGAATTTATAGATATTACAAATAATATACAATAAAACAAGTATATTTATAACATTTCTTTATATTGCTTTCTTTTAGATTTTCTAGTTTTCTAAGTATATAAACTTGTAAGGCTCTACCTATTAGAAGACTATATTTCTTAGCATATATGTATATGCATACATACTTACATTATAAAATTTACCAGGGGTTTGAGATTGAGATATTTTTATTTCATCTTTTTTTTGTATCTTAAAAAAGAGAAAAAAAAACTAGACATGGTAATCTAATTCTTCCTTTCTAGCATTTTTTCTGTTGTGTCTAAAAATAGTTATACATCCTTACTCAAGTGAAAAAGGCAGAAACAGGAGTACATATTCTAGCTTGTAACTGGGATGTGTTTATTTTTGCATATTCCACTCCAGTATGTGGTTTGCTCAAGGCTGTTGTCATAAAAAGGAAGGAAATACAAAATGAGTTCATCAGATTACCAACTTTTGAATAATTCCTTCCTTCTCTAGAAAGCTTTACCAACTAATTGGAAGAGGTGCTATGTAATCCCAGTGTTTACCTTTCTAGATACACTCCATTTATTGCTATACTCTGATTATAATATTAAAACACATATGAAAATTTCTGTGATTTATCAAACTTAAAATGAATTTTTACATAAAATAATCTATAATTTAGCAGTGTTTTCTTGGAATATTAGACTAGATGATGTCTCAGAAATAATCTTATTTTGGATGTGAAGAAATTCAGGCCTCAAGAGATATCTATACAAACACAAATGGCATACATTTTTGTACTGTCAGTCAGTGTATCTGGGCTACCTCTAGGTTTCATCTGTTTATTATATGTAATGAGTGGAGGAACATCAAATTAGTTGATATCTAGGCTTCCTTCCAGCTCTAAATTTCTGTGATCACATTAGTTTATAAATGAATGTGCTCAGGTATTATAGAAATGTAAAAGGAGGGAGTGATTTTAAAAGATAACGAGAAATGAGGAAATGTGAACTGCTCTTTAAAGCAAAGGTAAAAGCTTTACTTTTTTTGAGCTATTATTTATTATAACATTTTGTTTTAGTTCTGTTGTTAGGCATATAGCAACTGCTCCACCTCACTTATCTCCTACAAATAATACGAAGTTATTAGAAGATGAATTTATAATTGATGAATCAGATAAAAGTTTTGCCAATGAGTCTTGGATTACTATACCAAGAAAGGCTGGGCCTCTGAAACAACACACAGTATCCCCTGCTGAGAGCACTGCACCCCTTCAGAGGAAGAAGTCAAGAGAAAAACATGACAATGTATCATCTGCAACTTTCACAAGTAACAAACATTCTGGCAAAGCTCACTCAGTAGAGAAATCTCAGCCCTCTGAACAAAAAATACTGGGTAAGAGTTGTGCTTTGACGGATGAAATGGAAAATAATTGCAAATCTACAAAATATGAAATGTATCCTGAGAACGCAAAAAAATCATCTGGAAACAAAAGGACTGTAAAACAAAAACAGGGAAGAAAATTTAAGGCCAGTGTAGTTGAAGAACAAGTTGTTATGGAACAGTCTAAAGATAAAAATATAAATATATCACGTGTTGCTCAAGACAAGTTACAAAGAAATTCAGACCGAAATACAGAAGAGTGTGGAGAGAGAAGTGTTCCAATTTCCCCAAAACAGTTGCTACCTGTGGGTAAGTTTATATTAAGTATAGCTATGAATATTATTCCACCACTTTGTGTTTTTGTAATATTCCTATTTTGCTTTGGGAAGTAGGCAGAGTAAACTTAATTCTATAAAGAGCCTCAAATGCCTACAGACTCTTCTCTAGAATCTCTTTATTTTACCTTGTAATTCCAATTTACAATTCCAGGTCACTTGATTTTTTTGCGTAGCTTTTAAGACAGCAGCATATATAAGGGGAGAAGTGAAAGGCAAAAGCTTAGTAAACCAGATAGTTACCAGAACACATCATATATTCTTGAGGGTTATTAAAATATAAATTGGGAAAAAGTCTCAGGTGGTGGGGCTAGTTCTTGCAGATAAAAATTCATACTCTTCTATTCCATTATTTACTCATTTATCTAATAGTCGTTAAATGTCCGGCACTGTAGTAGCCTCTGAAATTACAAAGATTACTAATGCACATTTTCATCATTAAAAAAGATCAATCTGGTGGAGTCTGTAGACCAGCATATAAATATACATCCACAGGATGATAACGGAAGCATGGAGAATAATCATATAATTAATATCTTAATAAATCTTTTTATCTTCGGTTATTATGTCATTTATCATCCCAACTAGGACACATGAGAATAGGGGAGGATGTCAGGACAGTAAGGATTGTCCCAGATGTACGTGAAGTATGGCCACCCTCCTTATGTCATCACTGTATAGTGATTGAGGTTTGTAATGATGACACTATCATGAAGAAAAGATCAATTTGTGCTGTTTGTATCACTTTGTAAGTAACAGAGAGAAAAGAGAGTTTTTACAAAAAGAATCTTCTCCAGAATAGTTAATGGAATATGAAACACTCATTTTGTTTACTTTATTATTACCTTATATGTGTGTAATATAATTTAATCCTTCTTAACAATACTATAAGATAGGAGATAACACTCAAAAGAAATTAAATATTGGTCGAGGATCTGTCCCAACGTAGAGCTCATATTTTTTCAGTTCTATCAAAAAGTTTTGAAATAAGTGAAAATATTGTTGATTCTCAAATGGAAAAACTGTTAGCTAATGGGAAAACTTTCTTGGGCAGAATTATATATTTGCCTGAAGGTTCTAAATGACTATACTCTATTGCTAATATAGAGGGGAGAGAGAGTATATTAAAGCACAATACCTAAGCTAGCTTTTATAAAATTAAATTCCTCTTTAATATAGGTTATCATTTACTCAGTTATTTTAGCTTTCATTTTATATAGTAACATAGACTTTATATCACCTGAAATAATAATAGTTTTCACACTCCACATTTTCAGACTTTGTATGTGTCTTTGTGTATTTGATAAATTCTACTTAGAATAGAAGGAAAAATGATCTATTTTGTAGTCTTCTTTTGTAAATGTCAGATATGTCCCACATTTTTTTTTAATTAGAATTCTTTTTTCTTTTCCTTTCTTTTTCTTTTTGCTTCATTCTGTTTCTAATTAGCTGTTGGTTGTTTTAAGAAGATACAGCATAAATAATCCAGCTGAATGGAGAGTGATAGTTAACATTACAAGAAAGCTATTTTCTTACTAGTTCCTTAAGTAGAATATGAATTCACAAAGTTTGAAGGTACAAAATTTTGGCTTATCCATAATTTCTTAGGAAAAACATTATATCAAGGAAGTATCTTAAGTTATGAAGTTATATATATTATGTATTAAAGTTATAAAGTCTCTTAAATTATAAATGTTAAACATTTATTAAGTACCTGCTATATTTTGCACACTAATTTTTGTGTATATTAAAATTTTCTTTATCTAGATTGGTTAGTGAATATAGCATTCTAATTAGTTAACATACCAATTGTATTAATTTTCTTTTGCTGTCTTTAACAACTTACTACATACTCAGTGACTTAAAACAACACACATTTATTATCTTATATTTCCGTGAGTCAGGAGTCTTAAATGGATCTTACTGGGTTAAAATCAAGGTGTTGACAAGGTTTTTGTTCCTTTTAGGAGAGAATCTGTTTCCCTGCTTTTTCCAGCTTCTTGAAGTCACCTATGTTCCTTAAATCCTGGTTCCCCTCAAAACCAGCAGTGCCAGCCTTCTCATCTTTCAAATTTCTCCTGCCTCTTTTTCCATCATCCTGTCTCTCTCCCTCTGCCCACAGCTTTTAGGGACACTTGTAATTGTATTGGGCCATCCTGGATAATCCAGGATAATCTCCCTGTCTTAAGGGTTATAGCCTTAATCATATCTCTGAAGTCTCTTCCCATCTAAGATAGTATTTTCACAGATTTTGTGATTAGGGTGAATACATCTTTGGGAGGCCATTACTGACAACGGTATCAGTTGTCAAAGACTAAAGATGGAGATAAGTTAATTTCAAAGAAATTTTACTCTGAAGATAATTTTCCTTTAATTAACAGGGCACTTGACATACTTGTAATGCCTAAACTGATGACTTAGATTGAGCAAATAGACTTTTCCACTTTTGTTGTCTCACATACTTCTCAAACTGATCATATTGGAAACTAAATTCCTCCAAACTTGTTCCTCCTCTAGTTTTCAGTATCTTCATAAATGGAGCCATAATGAATCTATTAGCTTAAGAAAGAAATCTAATTCATCCTTAACTCCTGTTTCCTTTACCTAGCAACCCATATAAAATCAATAAGTCTTTTGACTTCTCCCTAAGTAGCTTTCAAATATATTACTTTTCTCCATTCCTCCTGCTACTCCCCTTAGCCAACTATAGAGTAGTTTATTTCTTGGATTATTGTAGCAGTTTATGCACATACCCTCTTGCTTTTGTCTCCCTCTGCAGATGTATCTTCTGGGTTGCTTTGTAATGAATTTTTTCCAGTTCCATAAACAGACCACTTTCTCAACTGTGGGCCTTTTAATACGCACTTCCTTTTGCTTAGAAAATTTTTCCTAAATTCCCTGGGTTCCCTACCAAGCTTTATACTCAGTATAAATAGCACTTTTCTTGATTAATATCCCTCAACCCTGTGTGTTCCTGAGTATGCTTCAATAGCACTCTTCATTTTACCATATAATTACTTGCTGAGTATGTCTTGTATTCTAGAGTCTAGACTGAAATCTCTATGAGAATAGGGACTGTATCTATGCTATTCCTAAAGTAGTCCGCAGATCTTAGCCTTAGTAGTTTTGTGGGTAACTAAAATATATTATCAACAGTGACAGAAATATTACTCTATTTTGGATAAATACTTTATTGTGTGTATTAAAACATGCCTCATCTTCAGAATCCTACTCCTTTACATGTAAATACATAAAATTTTCTACAGTAATCACTTATTTTTTTTCTAACTATTGCTGTGCTTATGACATATATCCCCTCAGTTTTAACTCTCTTCACATAACCAGCTGTTTCATGTATCAGTTTTGTATTCTATATATGTTCCTGTTTATTAGTTTTCTAAGTTCATTGTCATTCAGTTTCTAACCTTTCCTGATCTAGAACTAGATTCTGAAATGGTGTTCTTAATTGTTCTGTTTTTCACTTTGTATGATTCTTTTTTTCTGTAACATGGTCCAAATCTTTGATAATAGCATTTTCCCTTGAATTCTTTTGCCCTAAATCATTGTTCACATTGTTTTTTTTCTGTTTTTTTTTAAATCGATTCATGAACATGGATAGTAACCTCTGTCATCCTGAGTCCCTTTCATTTGTTAGAGCAGTTTCTGAGGATATTTTTGACAAACATAAGGGAAGAAAAAAAGGGAACAAACAGAAGAAAAGGAGTTGGAGAAGAGAGATGAGGGTGGAGATGTAGGGGGCAGAAAAATGCTACTTGTCAGTGAAGATTCTTGCTGTTGTACAGGTACTTACTTAAACTACTGCTTAGTGGCAGACA